CTTTCATTAGCAATGTGAAAACAGCCCTTGCTGCCACTAACCCAGTGAGTAACTAAGGATTAAGTCTGAAATTTTTAATACATTTAGTCTAAAATCTTAAATGCTTTGTCCTTTTTTGGCAGGCTGTAAGGACCTCTGCTATTACGTTGTTGGGAGTCATGTATCTCTATGTGGGTCCCCCTCTGCGAATGTTCTTTGAGGATGAGAAGCCAGCTCTTCTCTCCCAAATAGATGCAGAATTTGAGAAGGTAAGAACTCTGCAGGACTTAACTCTTTTAACAAACACCTGCAAGTGTCACTTATTCTTGGCTTAGAAATCTCTAGTGGGCTGGTTATCCTGGCCATCTTTCAAAAGAAAATAGTCGGCCCTCAAAACGTCTGTGTATAATTAGCTGTTCAAAGAAACTGTTTTGGCTCTCTGTTATTTCTTTACAGGAGCAGTACACTGGGAGCTTGAAAATCCATTGCTTTGACCACTTAATTTGTGGTTGTGTTTGTGAACAGTTTCAAATGCAAGATTCTTAAATACCTTGTTTCTCCCAGCATTTGCTAAAGATTGACTTTATGTATCACTTGTAGATGCAGGGACAAACAGCACCAGCCCCAACTCGAGGTGTTTCCAGGCACAGTGGTGGCAATGGGGATGATGGTGAGGAAGAAGAGCAGGAGGATGTAGGGAGTGATGTTGTGGATCTCCTTCCAAGAGCAGATATCAGGTGAGTTTGATTCTACAAACTAAAGACTGCCCCTTCTGCATTTTCTAAAATGCCATCTTTCTATCCTAAGTGCTTCTTGTCTAGTGTGCTGCAATCTTTGGGTGTTCTCTGGAGCATATTATATTATAGTTGCACAAAATAGGTCACAAAAGGAACTAAGTGTAAGGGATTAAGCTACGCTTGCTTTTTCTTTTTTAATAGTGAGAAGATTACAGGTGACCTGGTGTCTAAGATTGGTGACAAAAACTGGAAGATCCGAAAGGAAGGTCTAGATGAAGTGGCGAGCATCATTAATGATGCCAAGTTCATACAGCCACATATAGGAGAACTTCCAACTGCTTTGAAGTCTCGCCTCAATGACTCCAATAAAATCTTGGTATGTTAATCAAAATCACAATGGCAGTAACTTTAAACTTATCTAGCCCAAGGGTATCAAACATCCAGCTTGTGGGGCTTCTTGTGGGTTGGACCGCTTATCTCTACAGACTGAATTTGAATTTGACCCATGGGGCTCGTTGCTTCAGCTGCTTGAGCCTCTAGGGCCATGGCATTAATACCTGCTGGTCTTTCAGCACAGTTCTGGAAGCTAGGGAGTTAACGGTACTCAACCCCTGCCTCCCTTCTTCCCCCCCCCCCCCCCCTCCCACCTTTGTGACGC